TAACGCACAAATTTACACGGAGAGCAACACAAACCAATTGTGCCAAATTGACATATCGATGTATCGAGAGAATTCCTCGTTTTCCAAAACATTTCAAAAGTTATTTTTTCGAGACAAGCACACTAAAGTTATGATTTCATATTCATTTGTTATGTAAATAAATGATTGTTCATCAGATGATATTGATTAGACTTTTGTATCGTATAAATTATAAATATACTGAAGACAAACAATTTCTCTTCGTGTCTCACTACAGACAATGCCCATAGCAAGAAAAAGCGAATAATTAAATATGCATAGTCATACGTCGAATTTCTTCCGTTCGACACACGTATTTGAAATGAAATCGGATCTGTAGTAATATCCACTTCATTGAAAATTTGATCAATGAGCGAACAAAACTGCGAATGCACTTGAATGGTTTCGAATATTTTACGTTCGAAACTTTTTTCTCGGCCAACATTACTCATAAAGTGACTTTAAATTGTTCGATTGTTTACACATTGCATCCCTTTTCATTCGTTTGTCGATTATAGGAAAGAAAAGCTTTCAAAAGAATGTCGTTGCTAAGCACATATTAGAAGTAAAGTAGAAGGAGTTGACAAAACAATTCATGTGTCATATATATCCACAAGACTTATTCGCAAAGCAAAGTACAAACAATAACACATTACATATTTGTCACAACATGAACACAAAATTTTACTTCGATCAGACGGATCTGTTCCCATATGAACCAATACATCCGAAATATATGTTCACCTATATTTTACTCTCATGTATGTTCTTTACGTACTGCAATCAAAAAATTCATCATAAAAAAAGCAATTGGTTACAACAGAATACGTTACTTAGTTTCATTCATGCTTCTATCTGTTCGGTTTTGTTAATAGTCGGCGTTTTACAAGCAACGGAAATGTTCGAAGATCCATTATCACATGCCAATCACTTCAACTATACATTACTCGCGTTCAGCGTCGGATATTTCCTCTATGACTTCGTCGACTGTGTCCAAAATTCCACAACATCCATTGTTCCGATTTTGATTCATCATATTACCGTTATTGTATTCTTCTCTCATGTTCTTTATTACACACGGAATATTGGTTATGCCATCTATGGTCTTTCATTAGAAATTAATAGTGTATTCTTACATGCACGTCGGTTAGTACGATGGTATTCACCGTTTTCTAAAACGGTTCAGTTTCAAAACTTCTTAAAGATATTTATTGATATTGGAAACTATATGACTTTTGTATTCTTTCGCTTTGGCATTGTTATTGCCGGTCTACGTGCGTTACATCGGGAAGGGTTTCGTTTGAATCCGATTGTCAAGTATTTTACTGTACTGATTACTATGGCGATGGGTGTGTTTAATCTCATTCTGTTTTATCGTTTGGTGAAGAACCAACTGTTCGGAAAACAATCGAAACGACAAGAACCTTCGGAAGATGACGTTTTAGTTGTTGATAATCGAGTTTTATTGCCTAGCTAACCCGAAAATAACAATAAATTTCATTTGATATTTGAAGAAGTACAGCGTCTAAGTGAACTAGTCAGATTAAAAGTCTACCTTCCATTAGTTTCTTGGATGATCGATCACGCGGACGGTTGAGTAGACTGAATAATTTGTAAAAACGAAAACATTTCACCGCGTATCAGATTAAGTCAAAATACGCGTACAGGTAAGCTTTAATTATCCCATTTCTTCCCTTAAGATGATTTTCTAAGTATATTATTCTGTTTACATAACAAACATTATTCGATAAATCAAGGTGCATCTTATCTCTATGTCCTACAGGCATAAGTGACGACTCGCTGGGTAGTTTAATAGCGTCAACGAACATGACAAAAACAATCCGATGAAAATGAAAATATGATGACAAAAAGTAGAAAGAAGCAAGGTGAATATTCTATTGATACTTTCAGTAAGTATCATAAGTATGATTTCGATACAAATCTCAAGGCTACTGAATGATGAAAATGTGTGTCTGATACCTTGTAACTAGCAAAACACATTCAATATCAAACACGTGTTGAACGATTTTCTCCTGTTCATCGAACATTTGATTTCAATTAATAATTTCTTGCGAGCGAATATAGAAAAAAATCGGAGTCCTTCACTCGTTGACCAAACTGATGAACGAAGTCATACTTCAAACGAAATTTGATATGCCGTTAAGAAGAAAAATGACTACTATTATCATGTCGACTTTCAATGAACGAAGCGCATGTTTATCATACGATTAAGTGTTAATCGAACTTAGATAATTTCGATTGTAGAGAGACGACGAAATGACTCTTTTTTTTCTGTACCATTGCTTTAAATATATATATATATATAATCATTTATAATGGTGCAATCAAATCAAATTACGATCATCAACCAGGATATGTTTGACCATGAAAGTGAGAGGAGAAAGATCGATGTTGTGTTACGGTGAAGCATAAGAATAGACGATGATCAAGGCTCTATCTCTGAAACTAGTATTTACATTATTTATAATGATATTCACGATAGATAATGGTGATTAGAAAGAATCACACGATAAGTATGCAATGTTTTGCTTGTTGGATGGTCTTATTTCGAGTCATTGTTCTTTGTTTGTGTGCAATCATTACAGAGATATCAATCTTGTCATTTAAACTAGAGACGTTGCTAGTACGAATAGAGAACGAGAAGAAAGGTGAGACACATGAGGCCTATTTTACGACAAAATGTGTATATCTAACGCTTATTTGAAGGTAAACCGTGAATAAGGGCAAGTTGTAATTATCGTTTACTGATATCTCGTTTCTTTTCTTTGACGATCATTTTCAACGTTTGTTTTAGTTGAAGTGAAACCGGGCCCAGGAAGTTACCATCTCTTTTCAAACGAATAATGCAGGTTGATCAAACAATTCGACTGTAAACATCCGTATCATCCTATTGACATCACCGCCGACGATCAAGTGATTCGAAGAAGACAGATTGATCAATTCAATATAGGGATCGATAATTGATCATCTCGAGTTGAATATCAAACAAATTCGAATGAAGAAAATGCAAGTATCATCTTGATAGACAACTTCGAGTTGTCTACAACTATCTTGAATCATGGTGATGTTAAAAACTTCAGTCACCGCTCCTCTCGAAACGATTTACGAGGAGTCGGGCAGTTTTGTTGCATCTACCGGTAATTCGCAAAACCAAGTGTTGACTAATGAGACTATTAATGGTCTGATTAGTGCTCGTTCAATTCCTCCAGTTAACTTTCATCGACAACGAGCATGTGACAATGTGGTTAAACCTCCCATTGAAGTACGTTTTCGTGATGGATCGAAACGTTTTATACAGCCGTCGGCTGCATGTGCCATGATGATGGGTAGAAAGGAATTTATCGATTCTTCTGATGCTGATCTCTCACTGAACGCCATGCCAAACTTTAAATATCAACATTTGTTCAATATCAATCCAACGAACCAACAGTGTATACGACGACAACCTCCGATTGTGATCACTATTATAACTGCTAACGACATGAAACAAGCTGGTTTTACACCAACTGATAGTTCTTCACCGGAGATGACAACGCCAGTGGCAATGTCTACTCCGACTTACTCCATGCCTACATCAAATGCTTCACCTGCCCTGTCTACACCATCATTATCGAAATCCATTTCAAATATCTCGCAAGCAACTTCATCGACTTCGCAACCGATCTCCAGTTTTTCACAGCGATTGCCGACTCAACAATCGATATTAACCGAATCCCAGTCAAGTTCAATTGCGAGCACGGCCAAAACAAGAAGAGGCGTTCATAAAGGTTTGCTTGTTCATTATCAATTGATAAAAAATATTAATTGACACAATTTCATTCATTTAGTTTCCTTCGCGCCATTGCCACCCATGACACCTGTTCAGTCATTAATGCAATCAGCTATCAATCATCCTGCAACGCATATGACTCCGCCAGTTAATTTACCCTTACGCTCACCCCAACAATCGATTGGTTCTAACAATTCACGAAACTCCACGCCATCTCAATCATCTTTCTATTCTTCGAATTCTAATTCACGAGCATCGAATTCTTCGCAACTGACCACATTGACTAATGACATGAATAAACGAAATACACCATTGCAGACGGTTAATCCTGAATCTCAGTTCAACACAGCGGTGGCTATTGGTGGCAGTTCTCATAGTGCGTTTCGTCCTTTTCTTCGCCAGATGCGTCTCAATCAAAAATCAAGCCCAATTGCCAAACGAATTCCTATAAATTTTCACGCAAGAATGTTCAGACCGACACAACAGCAACAACAAGCGATGCTATCCTATGTTCAAAACTATCAACAACGGCGACAGTCTCAGCCGACAAACGTTACTAAAATGCCAGTACATTCATTCACAACGCAGAATGAGGTAATTCTAATTGAGAAACACCGCATTCCAGCGAATAGTTTCTTTGTCTTTACAGAATTCACTTGACAATCAACAACAATTGGTATCAGAAAGTAGTTCTGTCAGTAACTCTGTTACCACACAGAATCTCTTGAACGCATCTGCTAGTCCAAATCCAGTTTTAAGCGTAGCATTGAATCCCAATGTAAAATGGCACAATATCACATCTAACGACGTTAAAGACATTCCGAAACTTGCTAGAAGATTTGCTAGTATTCCTCTACGTATTGATCTTCCTGTTGTTTCTCCGCATTTCAATCAAAAAGCGTTGGCTCACCATGATACGGCTCTTGAACGACGTCTTCTCAGCGCTGGCTTATCTCCGGAGACAGTGGCACTCTACGAAAGAATTCTTGATGTTGCTCAAAATCGTCCCATGTCTGTCATCTCATCACCTCAAGCAATCGATAGATATTCATACAATTCCTTATTGTAAGGAGTATATAAATATATAAATAGATAATGTTTTTTTTGATGATCGAACTTATACATTTTTTAATAAGAGAAGAAAACAAGATGTCATAATTTTTCTAGTTTATTTTCACAAGTATATCAAAGGTTTTTTTCTCTTTTTCTATGTTTTTTTTTTGTTTTTTTTATTTGACAAACGATAAAAGAAGTAAATGAAAAACGTTGCAATTCTCACATTCGTGTTCATCATCAACGAGCAGTCCTCAATCATGGTATTGACTACGTGTGACCTCTCTCGATCTATCTTTTTCTTTTGACAATCCATCTTTTGCTGTTCTTCCTTCCGCTCCAAAATTTGATTCTATCCCCTTTCTTCTTCGTTCCTGGAAACATTCCATTAATCATTAATCTCTAATACACCATGGCACAAGAAAGTAAAGAAAAAACAATTATCGATTATGCTACTGACGGTAGGAATTCTCATTTCATGAATAGAAGTCCTTACCTCATTATTTATTTAAACAGGTAACTTCGATGATGTCGAACGTCTTCTTCGTGAACAGGTGCCCGTGGACACACATGACGAGGTTGATACATTGATCCAATTGCTGTCTTATCTTTAGTTTGCTCTTCTCTAGCATGGGATGACATCTTTGCAACATGCAGCCTATAAAGGACATGCAAAAATCTGTTCGCTTTTACTAGCACATGGCGCCGATGTTAACGATCACGAACACGATCAAGGATATACGGCTTTGATGTTCGGAGCACTGTCCGGTAAAACCCTACCGATCGAAATTTGAACAATTCTCTTTTTTTTCCTCGTAGGCAATACTGAAGTTGTGCGTATTCTTCTCGAAGCCGGCGCTAAGACTCATCAAACCAATCGTCTAGGTCGAACAGCTGCTCAATTAGCAGCATTTACAGGACAGAAGCAATGCGTGGACACAATAAATAATTATGTTACACTTGACGATCTTAAGTATTACACTATACCTCAAGGTCATTTTCGCCATTTTTTTTTCTCAGGAGAAACAGGAAGTTAGATAATTTCATTGTAGGCCAAGAAACCGAAGCCAAACTACCGGAATCATGCATTGCAGGTTTTCAACGATTACTCATCACAATAAATTTCAATCCTGTGCATGTACGTATTCTACTCGAATATAGAAATATCGACATATATGATACTTTTACTCGATTTAGTTACTGAAGATAATTCGAAACCACTCGGAGTTCTACAAACCGAAAACAAACCTTAAGAAACTATCGGATACGCTTGCATTGATGATTGAAAAGTCATTGGATCCGTATCATACCAATGAACCAAATGATATTCTGGCGATAAAATCACACTATATTAAAACATTTATTGACAATATTTTCGAGAAAAATACCGATGATGTCGAAAAAACATGTGCCGATTGGAGCAAAAAGTACGTAGACAAAATATTTACCAACGCTTATGTTTACCATTATGCTCTCATACAGATTCGTTCAAGAAAATGAAACAACTGGTTTTAAGTTATACGAGGAAAAGTTCATTCGAGAAAACATTCGAAATTTTCCATACAAACAATGTCCACTTCTACAGCAACTTGTTCGACTTATTGCTCCCGTACAACTAGTAAGCTCTTGTTTATTATTTCTCACCATCTGTCATAAAGAGATGGCTTTTATCAATCTCTCTAGGGTCAAAATCCGTCCGCTTTAACTGTTCTGACAACAACGCTCAACGGTCGTGCTTTTGAAGATGAAATTCCGAACCGATGTGACGCTTGCTCGCAACCGAATGCCACTCGTCGTTGTACGGCTTGTAAATCGGTTCGTAGCCTAATCTTTCGTACTAAACAAGCGCGTTTACATGTTTTCTTATTTAGGTCTACTATTGTGACGAATTTTGTCAACGTTTACGTTGGCCGACGCACAAACGCATCTGCTCTTCTTCAACAAAAGAAGAGAACAAATAGATCTAAAAAGAAACGAAATGCTCAGTGTGTATTATTCTATCTAGTCGTGTAGATTGTCGAATACTAGTGTATTTTTATTGATGTTTTACATTCCATAGACCGAAAAAAAACCCATGAAAATAAAGAACTTATCTTTGTTTTTACAAAAGCGTGCTTTCCATACTTTTAGGTACTGTTTTTTTTTTCAAATCGTATGAAGCATTGGTGGGGAAATCAATGAATCGAATAATCGTTATTGACAGATAAAAAGTTTCGTTAACTATTCAGAACAGAATGAGGCCGATTATTTACCTTTGCAGGTAATGAATGAGTCTAGCACAAAAACAACCTTGGTTACCTCATGCTCTTAAATGAATCAGCAGAGAAGCGATTTTTTCCTCCTCCTCTTCTTTTCTTGCTTTCTCCAACCGTCTTCGTCCTCCTTGTTTTTCTACCGTGGAACTTATTAACATAAAATACGAGACCCATGCATGTTTACAGATATAATCGAATAACGTCAACAACTCGATGGACTGCTCTTTTTTTCTCTCGCTTGTATCGGTATTATTATATACGACAGGAAGACAAAGCAAACATCCTCTAACCTTCATAGATAGGTTCTGTTTTTCTCTATTCTATTCACGTCCGATACTTGGTTTTTGAGTACGTGGAATCCCAAGTTACTTTATTCATTCTAGATCGTGATTAAGATGGAGAATTTAGCATCGAATTTGAAAGAGAAGTTGACAGGAACTTCGTTCGATGCAAATTCGGAAAAGACGGCGCCGCCGATCAATCCAGGTGTTTTGCATCAATTTCGAAAAATTCAAATACCTTTAGCTAAAATCGGACTCGGTTCAACTGAAGCAGATCTGGTTCAAATGGCGAAGAAATATCTCGAGATAGTTGGGCTAGTGCTGTTCGTTTGGATCTTCGGTAGGAAAACGCTTGCCTTCCAATCAAACGAATATTTTGACAATATGTTTTTTGTATTTAGGTTATTTTCATTTCAGTGTCTCTTGGATTTTGTTAGCTGTTTTCATCTACTTGTTTCGTCAACGTCAGCGAAGTCAATTCAAGGAAAGACATAGAATGTTAAACGAAATCAATAAAAACGAAGAACAATATATCAAAGCTCGTTTGGATGAACTACCTTCTTGGGTAATGCGTGTGAAAACGGTTATATTTATTGCAAAAAAGCTTTTCTATCCAAGGTTTTCTTCCCGGATGTTGAACGAGCAGAGTGGGTTAATAAAATTATCAAACAGGCATGGCCGTATGCAAATAAATACATGGACAAAGCAATTTTTCATGACATAATGATTCCGATGATACGCAGCACTTCACCAGCGTTGTCGGACTTTTCATTTGAAAAGCTCGATCTTGGTGAAATTGTAAGTAGAAGAAACAAATCTGATTAAATTTTCTGATCGAGTCGATTTAGCCACCAAGAATCGGCGGTGTGAAAGTGTATACGGACAATGTTCGAGATCAAATCATGATGGACATGGAAGTTTTGTACGTATAGAAGAAGATTGCGTTTGGTGTTGATAAAGTTCATTTACTTAGTTACGCTGGTGATGCTCGTATCAAATCAAAAGTGAAAGGAATCGTATGTGGTATCAAAGATATTCAATTTGTTGGTGAATTAAGAGTTATTCTCAGTCCGTTGATTAACACTATCCCGTTATTCGGTGCAGTTACTTACTTTTTCCTACGAAAACCAGTAAAACGATATGAAAATTGAGTTTTATCTGTAAAACCTCCGACTATTTTAGAGTATTGATTTTAAATTGACCGATGCTGGAACACTAATGGATATTCCTGGGTTAAAGTAAGAAGAAACACACTGCCAAGTCGAATCAATAGCTAGTTGATTTAGTGACTTAATGCTTGTACAAATCAATGATATCGTTGCTTCGATGATGGTTTTGCCGAATCGGCAAGTATTTCCTCTCGTTACTGATATACCCACTGGACACTTACGCTGGTCGAATCCTCAAGTATTTGTCAATTTACGACAAAATTCTCATTTTCAATTTCTTATATTTTAGGGTGTTGTTCGAGTTATCGTTATTGAAGCACATAATTTAGTTAAAGCGGATATAACCCTTCTTGGTAAAGGAAAGAGTGATCCATTTGTTAAAGTCAAAAGTAAATAAACCTAAGATTTACATTGGATATCATGCGATTCTCTTGATATATCAGCTCAAGGAAATGTTGAATATAAAACCAAAACGATGAATAATACTACTGACCCACGTTGGAATGAGGTATATGGAATGGTTTGATTGAATAGCATTCGAAGTGTTGTGTATTCCAGGTCTTTGAATTTGTTGTCGAACAAAGCGAAAGAGATGTCGTGGACTTCGAAATCTATGACGAAGATCCTGGTAAAGATGATTTTCTTGGAAGGTAAGAGAGATCGGATTGGCAATTGATTTCCAGAAAGAAATATTTCTGTTAGAGCACAATTTTCAATCAATTCGTTGCTTGAACAACAATCAGTAGAAACTGTATGTAGAATTTACGACATTCATTGACATTATTTGCAATTGATCTCTTTTGATTAGGAGTTAACATTGAAAGACGTCAAAAAGGGCTCGCTCAAGGTTTTCCTGCAATACTTTCATCTGTCAACACAAAGATCTGCTCTTGATATCGTAAAGTTTTGATACTCTGCTGTTTCTTGTCTACTAACAAAAGTATTTCAGATTGAACGAACAAATCGACAGATGATCAAACAAGAGAAATTATCCAAAGCTCTTTTGGTTGTCTTTATTGATCGATGTACAAATCTACCTGTATGATTTGCTGTTGACTTATCTCTCGTTCAATATTTATATCTTTTAGGCTTCGAAAAAAACTCGTCGAGAACCGAATCCATTCTGTCGAATTCAAGTCGATAATACCGAACGTAAAACTCATACATTGGAGTCTCAAACAAATCCATCGTTCGAGCATATCTCTCAAATCTTATGTTCAAATCCTCTTCAACAACAATTAAAAATTGAAGTGCGCGATGCACGTTCAAACAATGATATTATCGGATATTTAGAATTACCGATTAAAAATATTCTCGATACTGACTCAATGACGATCGATACACAAGAATTTCCTCTGAAGAGTTCAACAGAACCTTTGGATAGAGTTTCAATTGTTCTTCGTCTATCTCTTCATGTAAATTTAACGAATTTATATCCTAACAATTATTTCTTTCTCTTTCGTTAGATTTTGTCTCCAGTGAATTCGAACGCGTCCGAATCGCCAACAGCTAGTACCCCATTAGTTGAAAATTCAAATCGACAAAATACCGTGGCAGAATTGCCAAACAAATCAATATTGGAAAATAATTTAATAACAGATTCTTCAAGCAAAGTAAATCTCTATGAAGATAGTCTTTTCAGCATGAGAAAAAGTAGAATATATCGAATTTCATTTTGATTCCATGCCATCAATTATCATAGCATGAGACAACGATTATTTGATATGCCGAGTTTATAGAGACATTTGACCTTTATTTTGCCAGTGATTTCCGATTGCATGCTGTTTAGAATTCTGATGATGACTGAGAACACTTCGGCAGATTATAATCGAGCGTGAAATGTCAGACGAGAATCATTATTTCTATTTATAGTTCGCAAACGAACAAGCGACAACGCCGGAAAATAGAACACTGTTAGTTGCCGATGATCCTGATCTTGAGTAAGCTCTTGCTACAATCTCCTATTGTACAATTCAATTTCGTTTACAGATCATCCCAGTTCGGTCAAGTTAAAGTGGGTATTCGTTATGCTGCAAATCGCAAAGCTTTATCTGTAACGATATATGCTTGCAAGTAAGTGAATGCAGACGTTTCGATTATCGATTAACAAGTTCTGTTCTCTAGAGATCTGATCAATGTTCATGAGCAAAATCTTCCGGACGCATATGTTCGTGTTTATTTGATACCGGATTTCAAAAAAGATAAGAAGAAAACCAAGTCCGTTCATGACACAGTCGATCCAGTTTTCGATGATCTGTGAGCGCGAACACGAACCTATTCCATCTATTTAGCATTTTCTTCATAGATTTGAATGGTCAGCATCGTTAAGTGACATTCATCAACAACATCTTCTGATTAGTGTAAAGAACAATTCACCGCTGTTTGCTAGCGAACAAACATATATGGGCGATGTATGTATCGATCACATTCCGTTTTTAGTGAAATCTTTTTCTTTTTCCTAAGCTTCAAATTGATCTATCAAATCTTGACGCAGAAAAGAACAGTATCGCTTGGTATGCATTACAAGAACCGAATACCAGTGCAGGCGGTTTGATCAAAATCAAATACGATACTCCCAATAATGTGCAAACGCATTTATAGAATATAGTGACAACATTTAGTTTTTACAGAATACTCTCCTTTTCTTTTCTGACCAAAGCATTTTTTGACTAACAATGTTTAATTTCAATTTTAATTATACATGATGTTATACTATTCACTCTCAAACAATAGAATTCTTTCTTTTAATATCAGTTTAATAAATATCAGAATATTATTTGAACAGATGTCGCTTATAGTCGATATATCCGAGCGAAATTAACAATTCTTTCTTTGGCAAAATGAATATTTATTCTACAAAATATTGTTTGCAAAGATCTGAAAATAATGAAGAAGACAAATTTCGGTTGATGGAAAATGTTTTCTGTTTCTCCTAGAAACCAACATGAAAGAGCGTGAAAAATGAAAACTAGCCATTTGATTTACTTGTCACTAAGACAAAACTTTTTGAACTTAGTATTCCACAAATGGCTCGATTATACGATGCAATCGAACCGGAAGTCGTTTCAATGGGTATGCTTCAGCATGCTGTGGAATCACTACGACCTGAAACAGATAGTCAAGCTGTACCGAAAGAAGATAAACTCGATTATAATGCTGTTGATTCACTCCGTTTGGATTTTCGAAGTAAAACAGTTAACTTCCATTGTTCACTTTTGCTTATTTGCTAATTAGATATTCTTCGAATGGAAAACCTTTGGTTGTTTACTAATTTAACTAAACTTCAAATGGATAATAACATTATTGAACGTATCGAAGGACTTGAAACATTGACTAAATTGACCTGGTTAGGTGAGATTGTTTTCTGTATGCGCAAGAATGTTGTTTGACGGCGAAATTTTCTGTTTAGATCTTTCGTTTAACAATATTACACGGATTGAAGGTTTGGATGCGCTAACTGAACTAACAGATCTCTCGTTGTACAATAATCGAATAACCGTGATTGAGAACATGGATTCATTGAAAAAATTGAACGTCTTTTCTATTGGAAATAATCAAGTCGACGACGAAAACAGTGTTAGTAAGAACGACTTTCAAAAGAAGTTCGTTCACCACTGTAGATTGCAAAGATTCTTCATTCTTTGTGCTTTTGTTTAGATTCGTTATCTCCGTCAGTTTGATAATCTTCGAACATTCTGCCTGCGTGGTAATCCATTTGCATCAAAACCAGATTATTATGTGTTTACAATTTCACATTTACCACAAGTTCATTTCCTTGATTATAAACTTATTGAGGATGCAGCGGTATGTCATAGATTCGTTTCAAATCATATCGATTGTCTCCGAACATTGTAGAGAGAAGAGGCAACGAAGAAATACGAAATTCAAATTCAACAATTGATCACTCAAGAAGATCAAGACCGAGAAAAAGAACGTAAAGCTGAAGATCAAAGAAAACAGCAACAATTGTACAAGGTAAACTGTTCTAGCAATTCACTGTTCTCATCATTGAAAGATCGAATCTCATTCAGGATGCTTTTGTGGAAAATATGGATCAGAAACAATTGTTCGCTGCGATGTTTAAAGATGACACCGAAGGACAGAGATTACTTCTTGTTCCTGGCGCTGATGAATTAGTGGCGCAAATTGAAGAGAAATTTGTGGCGATTGTTCATCAAATGTTCGAATTTGGTCTTAAAGTGAAGAAATTTTAATAGCGAAACATATATGACCGATGTTTACATTCTTTAGGAAAAAGAAACGCGAGATCGGGAAATCGAAGATTTTTGGGTGTGTGTCAACGAAGCGAAAGACGAAAATACCCGACGAGCTGCAGCGATTGTCGATGAGTTCAAGGAATATCGAACACAGCTATTTGTAAGTGAATTTATTCAATGTATTAATCGATTTTCTTTAATTAAAAATAGGCGAAAGAAGATCTTGAACAGCAAGGTGTATCATCTGCAGTTGCTACTGAATATGACAAAGCGTTAAACACTCTTCATAATAAACTAATGGCTTTGGAAATTGCCTTAGTCGATCAATTGGAAGTAAGATTACTTGCTTCACGTAGTTTCAAAACGAATGTTGTCTTACTGTTGTATAGGACACTATTCAAACATTCGAGCGTAACTTAGGTGAAATGGTTTCGAATTTTACGGAATCAATGCGTGGAAATTTTGGTTTATTACGAGAATTTCAAGCTTATTTCAATGAGTCTATTGTAAATCTATGTGTTGCTGCTGTTGAGCGATACATGAAAGGTGAACTCGACGATGACTTTCCCGATGAAACACGTGATGTGCGTACAGGAATCCTTTCTTCGATAGAAAATCGTTCAGTTTCATTTTTGCTTTTCTAGCTTTTTGCTGATAAGGATACGATACTGAATGCATGTCAAACGTCGGATGAAATTCATCGAACTAAGATCGATCAACGCGAAGACGAAATGTTCTCGCGCATCGCGAATTGGCTAACCACAATGATGGACAACATCCATGATGAAGAGGAATATAAACGAAATCGCAAACGTATTATTGAAATTAGTCGATTAATTGATTACCTCCGAGCGGATATCGACGACATGTAATAGTACGAGATGAAGGAAACTAAATCAATTCTTTTTTTTCTTTCTGTGAATTTAATAAAAAAAAAAGAAGAGAAATGTTTCTATTGACAAAGCTAATTATTTACAATATATTTCTTTCTTTTCCTTGTGAAAGCAAAGAAAAAGATTGTTTTTCAAGTCAGTTGAACAAAATCAATGAATTTGAACACACGCTTTTTCACCGAGCATAACTATCAACATAGACTGCCAGCGAGAGGCTATCGTTCGCCGTTGAGTTTTCGCTCTGGACCAGTTTTGCATACTTCACGATCATCATTCAATCGAACCAACCGATGCGAATCATTCTTACCGCCGGTCATCACTGGTCGAGGACATTATGATGGCGAAAAACCATTCCATCGAAATGATTTTGCGAATAATGTCCTATTTGTTGCCAAACAGAAACTAGCTGGTATACTCTGTAATCAAACAACGAGAAATTACGATCGAAACGAACCAGAACAGAGAGCTCGTCGATTAGCTGAGAAAACTAAACAGCAACAACAACAACAACAACAACAAGTACTATCTGCAAAAGACGACCAATTCTATTTGAAGTTTGTCTACTTTTTTTTAGGAGAGTTCGTTTAATAACAAGTCAAATTCATATGGTCGTTTGACTGTGACCAATTTGGTCTTAAAACCTACACTACCGTCATCGTACCGTCGTTCACGAGCAATGCGGCTGCAACCTAAAACTTCTCGCCCGTCCATAGAGTGGGTTAATCCTGCATTGGAACAGTATCACGGACACTTATTCAACTATTCAATCGGTGAAGATTCGCAAGCAAACACAAACATTTCTGAATTGATCGATGATCATCCGGTACAATCATCAGTCTCATATGTCAAATCCATGCTCTTATCAATAGACTGACGTTTCAATTGAGATGTTTTGTACTTTTTCATGTGATATTCCGCTTGTGTCAAATAATCATGAGTGTACTTATTTGGTTACGACGGTGAAATACAGTATTGGAATTCATATTTTAAAAAGTTTACATTCTATTTTTTTTCTGAGTTGGAGAATAGCAGAGAAGATGTCAACAAGCCGAAGGAAACGAGTAAAAGCATTTTAACTCATACGCTTTCATGCAAAGTCAATGGTAACTCGGGACATTTGTCGGGAAATGAGAACAACTTTTTAAAAATTGAATATAGAATGTGTAGATATAAATAGATTCATACACTTGGTTATCTTCTCATTACAGTGTAAAACATGAACTCCAAATATAGCTGTAGAGAAAATATAACCATATTATATCAATATTTGCTGTCACTTCAGCAGAAGTGTGCTTTATTAATATTCGTAATAAATCAAATCCAATTGCCTGATATTTCAAACGTGATTTTGTCCAATTCGGTGAAAAGCTGCAACGAACTGCAGTTCTGCTTCAGTCCCACCAGGGACTATAATTGATATATATGCTATAAGTTTTGATGACTGGATCTGTTCAGTGGCGACATCTATCCTGAATTGTGAATGATAACAAAAAAATTTCTAGATTTATTGTTCGTTCTCGATTAAACTATTTCCACTGCTAATATTTATTTTCTTCATAATATTCTTTTCATGTTATTAAATTATTTAAAGAACGATAAGAATGCATGTATAGAGAACAGATAATCCTTAATGGCCGAGGCCATTGTATCGTATATGATTACCACCTTCATAATCAACATCACCCTAATCATATGTTCGACAGCTTCCCATTTTTGTTCTATATCACGGTTATCTTCATGATTTTCCCTTCGTTTTTCTATTCTAGTACCATTCGTCGAATGTGAGCCCTCGAACGCACAAACTACTCTGTGTTTTTATATTGCGAGCATTTTCTTTGACAAACATACACACATATATTTATCTTAACATTCAATCGCGATTATTTATTCAACATGTTTCTTCCACCTATCGGCCAACCAACGTCGTCTTCGTCATTACAAGGCAGTGGAAATGGAAATAACAATCAACAGAACAATATGATCAATACAAGTGCCAGTTCCTCAGGTTCTTCATCAGCGAATCCGATTGGTCTTCCACCGTCAACACCTCCTGGAAGTGGTATTATGACAATGCTTCATCCGCCACTTGATTTATCACCTCCTCCACGACCAGATTTTGGTCACGAAGGTCGATCGATCAAATTACGTGCCAATCATTTCTCGATTCGTATTCCTCCAATACTTATTCAACACTATGATCTTAACATTCAACCAGATAAGTGTCCCAAACGTGTCAATCGAGAAATCATTGATACAATGGTTAACAAATTTCAAAATATATTCAATAGTCAACATCCAGCATTTGATGGGAAAAGAAATCTTTATACCAAAGATCCTTTACCATTTGGCCGCGATCGCATCGAACTTGAAGTAACTTTACCTGGTCCTGGTGAAGGACGCGATCGTTGCTTCAAAGTACAAATCAAATGGGCTGCACAAGTTAGTTTGGTTAGTTTACAAGAAGCTTTACAAGGACATGGACCACCTGTATCGAATGAAGCTGTGTCAGCACTTGATGTAATTATGAGACACTTGCCGAGTATGAAGTAAGTATTGATGGGAAATGTTCTTTGATTTCAAATGTTAGTCATTGTTTTCTATTGTACTATTCAGAACAGACAGGTTAGAAATTCAGGGCTTCTATATTGACTTTTTGATTGTTTTTAATCGATGAAATATTCTTTCTTACGACTGTGCCTTGTTTAGATATACTCCTGTTGGTCGTTCATTCTTTTCTCCACCTGATATTCAATATAATCCGTTGGGTGGTGGTCGTGAAGTTTGGTTCGGTTTTCATCAATCTGTGCGACCATCGTATTGGCGAATGTCATTGAATATCGATGGTAAATTCTCCTAAATTTCATTTCTTTTTCACACTTTCATATCTTTCATTTTTCAGTTAGTGCTACCGCATTCTACAAATCCCAACCAGTTATCGATTTCATGTGTGAAGTATTGGATATACGGGATATTCAAGATCAAAGACGACCACTGAATGATGCACAACGAGTGAAATTTACAAAAGAAATCAAAGGTAAGAATGAGTCTCAATCAGCGACTGCTGTTAATGATAGATCAGTTAGGAAAAGCTATTTCGTGTAATACCCTTCGTCACACTTTATGTTACACACAATAGCCAAACATTTCAAACTACTACCTCTTTCTTTTCTTATATTCAGGTCTTAAAATTGAAATTACACATTGTGGTAATATGAAACGAAAATATCGTGTTTGTAACGTAACACGAAAACCTGCCCAATATCAAACGTATGCTTAACACTAAACAGATCAGTATCTTCTCAAAACTCAAATCTTCTCTCTAGATTTCCGCTTCAACTCGAAAGCGGTCAAACAGTGGAATGCACTGTGGCAAAATATTTCTATGAGAAACATCATATGAAGTTACAATATCCTCATTTGCCATGCTTACAAGTTGGCCAAGAACAAAAACATACTTATCTACCACTCGAAGTAAGACCATCGAAGAAACAGAAATTCTCCAATATTCTCTTATATCTAGGTTTGTAACATCGTTCCTGGACAACGTTGTATCAAAAAGTTAACTGACATGCAAACATCAACAATGATTAAGGTATGTTCGATCTAGTGAACGCATATTTCATTTTGGAAACGGATGTGTTCCTATGAAAAATTACGTTTGTCTTTGTTTGTAGTGCAGTGAGGTAGAGTTCATTAAGCATGATTTTTCTTCTTTGGAATGTATTCTTCTCTAAAACTATCTCTATACATAATTGAGGTCGTTCCTATCTATGTTGTTATAGAATCAACAAGAACTACTTCAGGTAAACACCTCAATACATTCTTTCGAAACCATCATCGTCTCCTCCTAATTTTGCTCGATTTGCGTGCGCGAATCTATAAAGCCATTCGAGTACATATGCAACTATAACAACTGCTCTTGATTTTGGAATGAATGAATAAATAAAACGTAGAAATCGATCTGTTTTCTATGACAATAACATAGATAGGAACGAATGTTTTATGATAAAGAAACCAAACAAAACCAAACAATCCTTCGGATAATTATAACCAGCAAATAGCACGTCTCTTATTTCTGTTCATCTTATCGATTTCATACAGCCGGATTCAATTGGAAATTTTCTTTGTTTTTAGGCTACGGCAAGATCAGCACCTGACCGTGAAAAGGAAATCAACAATTTAGTAAGTTTTGTTTGCTCTCCGATATCGCCACGATGATTTCGATCATGTACTTAGTTTATCCTAGTTTTAAAAGCATATGATTTTCTTGTCAGTCATGATTCAATTAAATAAATAATATTCAGGAGTGGAAAGAAAAACAGGAAGCTTGTCTCGAGAAATGACATCAATCTTTATGATATTATTTCGAACAAAAAAGTGCAATTAGAATCAATAAAACTGTATCATTTAGGTACGAAAGGCGGAATTCAATAATGACGTTTACGTCACACATTTCGGCATCAATATTTTGACAAATATGACCGAAGTCATGGGACGTGTTTTAACAGCTCCCAAAATTCAATATGGTGGTCGAGTAAGTACTCCGAAAGTCAATTTCATTGCTCACGACTTTCCTGTCTAATTTAGACGAAAATAATTGTTACACCCAACCAAGGTGTATGGGACATGCGTGGTAAACAATTTCATACAGGCATTGAAATTCGTACATGGGCAATTGCATGTTTTGCACCGCAACGAAATTGTAATGAAGCAGCATTAAGAACATTTACTCAACAATTACAACGAATATCCAATGATGCTGGAATGCCCATTGTCGGTCAGCCATGTTTCTGCAAATATGCAACAGGTATTGAACAAGTCGAGCCGATGTTTAAATTTCTGAAAACAACGTACAACGGTTTACAATTGATCGTCGTGGTTTTACCTGGTAAAACTCCTGTTTATGCCGAAGTCAAACGTGTTGGTGATACATTGATTGGACTGGCTACCCAATGTGTACAAGCTAAGAATGTCAACAAGACCACACCACAAACATTGTCGAATCTATGTTTGAAGATCAATGTTAAATTAGGCGGTGTCAACAATATTCTCGTACCAAGCGTACGCCCCATCAGTGTTTTCCGTGAACCAGTTATATTTATTGGTGCAGACGTGACACATCCGCCAGCAGGCGATCGTTCTAAACCATCAATTGCAGCTGTATGTTATCTCGTTTTGTTTTGCTTAATACATATCGAAACGTGTCTTCTTTATTTTCAAGGTTGTTGCTTCGATGGATGCTCATCCATCCCGATATGCAGCTACGGTTCGTATACAAATGCATCGTCATGAAGTCATTGCCGAACTATCAACTATGGTCAGAGAATTACTTATACAGTTTTACAAATCCACACGGTTCAAACCAGCACGTATCATCTTATATCGTGACGGTGTTAGTGAAGGGCAATTTGCACACGTACTTGCACACGAACTCATGGCTGTGCGAGAAGCTTGCGCGCGTCTTGAGGCATCGTATCAACCGGGCATTACATTCATCGTTGTTCAAAAGCGACATCATACACGTCTGTTCTGTGCTGATAAAAAAGAACAGGTGAGTTTCGCATTCTGAACGATGTGAAAAGCGTGTAAATATTTTCTGTCAGCTATGACCTTGAACGTATCATTGATAATTCATCTCGCCAATAGGTAACACTGTTTTTTCAAAGTAGATACTTATCGCCAGATACCTTCTTTCGTTGATATCCGGAGTAAAACCGATTTGTACTTTCTCTCTCATCTCATCAATTTGACATAACAATATTTTCTTAGGAAAGAAAGTTCTTCAAATTCTAATTAAATTGAATTATTATCTCCATAGATATTTCCCGTGAGAATTTTTCGTCTAGAATAGAGTAAAACGTACCTGCATTTTAC